AAAACACACTGAAAAGCCGGGCGAGGTGGCACACTTTCCCGGTACCGGAGAAAAACCACCAAAAAAAAAAAAAAAAAAAAAAAAAAAATACAGATTTTTGGACTTCATTGGGTTCCCATATAAAGTTTTGTGATTATGGTTTTTCAAGTGAAATCAGTCAACCTTTTATATAATGCTCTTTAGAGTTGTGCTACAAAGAGAATACAAGGAGTGGGTCCCCTCATGGTTGGAGCTTTTCATAGATTGTACCTTGAAACAAGAAAGGATCAAGGAAGTTTACATGATTTTAATTACTGTGATTAAAATGATGGGTGGTGCATTCTGAGAGTAAAGTAGTGATGGTTAATCTTGACTGTCAACTTGATTGTAGTGAGAGACATGGAGGAGATTAATAATGCACATTTTCTGGGTGTATCTAGGTGGGTCACGGAGGCATGACCTTGGAGGCTCTATCTGGTTGTTGACTCCTTCCTCTCTGGCACTGTTCCCCTGCTTTCTGCTTTGTACTTTCTAGGAGTTGAGTAGTTTTCCTCTGCTACTCTCTTCCACCTTGATGTTTCTGCTCAGAACCGGCCAAACATAAACTGAACGTTCCAAAACTGTGAGCCAAAATTAACTTCTCTTTAAATTGCAGATGTCAGGTATTTTGAAGTGATAATAGTGGAGGGCTAATTGATATTACAGTAGTGTTTGAGTCAATGGGCTGGAGATTTCCATGATGCTGCAGAGCTGTAGCTACAGAAGTAATGGGAGAAATGAGTTAGAAGGAAAGAAAGGTGGCTGTCTGACTATATAGTGAGATGTTTGAAATCAAGATGTCAGAGAGAATGGCAAGATCTACAAAGTGAAAATGAGTATAAATGCTAACATGGAGGAAAGGAAAGAGTTTTTAGAATTAACGAGACAATTCAAAGATATTCAGTGAACTGCATGTGAACTCACCTCTGAACCTCTACAGCACACTGAATATCTTATAGTCTTTGTTCTTCTTCAGAACTAGGCTACATGAACACTTGTCTTAATTCTTCCTCCTTTTTGCATCCCTTTATCCAACAGTACGTCTAGTACAATACTTATAAAGGCTTCATTTCTCATGCTGAACTGAGTTTGATTTTTACTGTTTTGTGTGTGATAGTTACACAACATCATTGTCAGAAAACCAGAAAGTGTTCCCTTTTGCCCATTGATTCTAATTTACCATAAATACCTACTTACCATCATCTCAGAGGTTCGATAGTTATAAACAGTTCCTTTTAGTTGGATTTGTTCCCCTCGTACAACAGAATATGGTATATTCATTTCCAAAAAGACATCTTTGAACACTTTTGCCTTGACGGTATCAGCAACACATATACCTTTAGCCCAAAGGAAAAGCAAAGTAGATATGTATTAGGGAATTTCTGTCATGTTTTATTAGTACTAAAATGTCTTACATTAACTTCACTTCAAAGACAAAAGCATATTAGATCATGTTTTTCTCTCTACTATCACCCCATATCTTTGAATTTTTATATTGATCATTGATCTTGATTTTTATACTTACTGGTATGTATTAACAGAAAACTTCATTTGTTCAACAAGTATTTAATTCTACTAAAGGCACAAGAATGCTATTATCTGAAGTATCAAATCTTTTTAGATATCCATTATTGGATCCATTTAATGAGTATGAAATTTTTATTGTGGAAACCAAGATTTTTTGTGAAAACAAAAAAAGCAAAAAAAAAAAAAAAAAAAAAGAAATTAACCCTGAAGTTACTTATAAAGTATCTACACTAAGTTGCCATAAAGAAGTCATATATTGTTTCTAACTCTATTCAATCTTCCAATCATTGAAGAAGTGAAAGAAAACAGAGACTTGACACCAGCTTAAATGACAGTTAAGTAAAAAAAGAGCAAAAGAAAAAATAAATAGGTTTGAAAATGTGGCTGTATCTAAGTCATCTTTATACATAAAGAATATCCTTTAAAATGACATCACTTAGGGCTGGGGATATAGCTCAGTGGCATAAAAGCCTGCTTGGCAAGTGCAAGGTCATGAGTTCAATCCCCAGTACTGCAAGAAAAAAAAAAATAAAATGACATCACTTAATTTTTGAGAAACTAAAGACATAACCAAGAACTACATCTTTCTAATCAAATCACTGCTTAAGTCAGTGTATAAGTGAAGCTTTCTTACCACTATTGGAAATGCCAACACCTTGAATTTCCCAGGTGGTGAGAGAATCAGGCAGCCTGAATTGCATTTGACTTCTGGAAGTTAAAATGTTGATATTCAAGTACAGTTAAACATAATTCAACCCAACATGACAAAATTTTGGCTTTAAAGTATTTTAGAAGAAACAAGAAATCACAAGACAAAATCATGCCAGTTATTAAGGAAATTCTCATCAAGAAAAATGTGTTCAGCAATTCTCATTTATTACGTTTTTAAAATAGTACACCTGTAAAGCAAACATTTAAGTTTAGAAGGATGTTCCTTTGAAACATTGGAAAGGCAAAATATATGAAATGAAGAAAAATTTTGTTCATTATATGTTCTAAAATAGGGAAGTGAAGTAAAGCATCTTGATCTTTCAGGGAGAAAACTGATGCAACTAAAATTTCTGATTATGATTACACTTGTCACTTATTGACTGCTGTTGCCTATCAACTCTGTGTCAGGTAGAGTGACAAAAGCTGATACATAGCACTTCAAAGTTATAGTCCTGCTCTCAATCAGTTTATGATCTAGCAGAAGAAATAGGTGAATAAATTGTACTTCACTGTGATAATTATACCAATAGAGCATTAGAAGAATTCATAGGCAGTGTGTATCCATTCAACACATTTATTTTCATGCCTTTTCAAGCAGGATCCTAGACCAGGTCCTGAACATAAAATAGTAATCTGAATTTAGTTTTTGCCCTTGAGGTATTTATACTTTAACGAAGAAGACAGGCAAGTAAACAGGCCAATGCAATTCTCTGTGATATCTCAAACAGGGTTGTTGTGATTGGGAAGGATAAATCAATCTAACCCCTAGTAGGGTAGGAAACAGTGTCAAGAAATTTTACCAAAAGTGCTAGCTAATAAACACTGTCAGATGAGCTGGACAACAGAAGAATAAGAGGGGACCCGGGTCAGGTCAAGAGGAGTTGTGAACAAACTACCCTTAAACCAGTGGTTTGGGCCCACTAGAAAGAATGAGGCTTGGAGATTCTGTGTTCTTTACTACTGTTTCTAGAATCTTGTACAGAGTAGGTATTTTATCTAAAAGTGTCAAATAGAAGACTTTAACAAGAAAATAATTTTTCTTCTTGTTTGTCAATATTTGTTTCATAATCCAGATATTATTAGTTTATAAATAGCTGCTTACTACTGTATAACACATATCTGTACACAGTAAACAGATACTAAAGTTAAATGAGGTTAAATACAATGGTACTGTTGGATATCTTCAGGAATTCTGGTGAGCAGCTGCTGCACCTTCCCAACCAGCGTATGAGGCAGGTGGAGCCCCAGATACCTTTTGGGGCCTTGGTGGCCACTCCTCACAGCCCTAGCATCCTTGTAGGCACTTGGCTGAACCCTGGACATCTTCAGGAACCTCAGTGAGCTGCTCCCATGCCTCCACCACTAGTGTGTGAGGCACGTAGAGCCCTCAACACCTTCTGGGGCCTCAGTGGTCACTCCCAATATGATTTGCACCCCTGTGGGAGCCCAGTTGCAACCCAGGTAGAGTCAGTGGCTTCAAGGACTCTACCCTCACTTTCCAATGTGGGAACCAGGCTGAGTCCTAGGCAATATCTGAAGCCTCAGTGACCATGACTTTCATCCTCCCAACCCTTGGAGAAGCCAGGATGAACCTCAGACATCTTTAGGAACTCCAGTGAGCCTCCCTTGCCCCTCCTACACCAGCCTGGGAGCCAACTGAATGCAAGAAAGTTTTGTGAACATTTGGAACTCCACCTTGCCCACACACACCAGTACAGGAGCCACACTGAGCACTAGGGATCTTTGGACCCTCACCCTGCCACTCCCACACAATCATGGGGGTGAGGGTGAGCTCCAGGGAACCTGTGGATCTTCAAAAATGACAAAACAAAGAAGAAAAACATGCCATCTCAGACCTCTACCCCACCCAGAACAAGTCCAGGAGACATTAACACAGAAGAGCCTGGAAGTCATACACCTGAAATTTCTGAAATGATAGCAACTGAAGTAAAGAAAACAACTCCATCAGGCCATAGAAGACATCAGATCAGAAATAATCTCTCAGGTAAAAAAAAGAAATGACAACAATAATGAAACAATTGTTCAGCATGTCCAAAGCAGACACTGATAAGAAAATAGAGGAGCATACACAACTCATGGAAACCTTGAGTGAACAATATAGAAAAGAACTAGAATGCATGAAACAGATTCAAACAGATATCCAGGAAATTAAAAATTCCATCAAAAGCTGGCAAAACTGCATGAATGAAGCTGAAGATAGACTTTCAGACAGCATTGCCACTAATAAACGTGAAAGGAAGGATCTCTTAAAAACAAGGAACCAGGAAATAAGAATTCAACAACTGCAAGACAAGGCAAAGAAAAACAAAGTAAGATTAATAGGTATCAACAAAACGGCAGGTGTCAACACAAATGACATAAACGACTATTTGCAGAAATAATAGCAGAAAAATTCCCAGGCATGGAGAAAGAATCAGACATACAGATAAGTGAAGCATATAGCACTCCAGTTAACCATAAAGAAAATAAATCTACACCCAGACATATAGAGATCAAGATCCCAAAACTCAACAAAAGATCAGAATATTAAAAGCTGTTAGAGAAAAGAGACAGATCACCTGTAAAGGAAATCACATCAGAATTACAGCAGATTTCTCAACACAAACCATCAAGTCAAGAAGAGTTTGGAGTGAAAGAAAACAACTTGCAACCCAGAATAATGTACCCTACAAAACTATTCTTCACATTTAATGGAGAAATAAAATATTTTCATGATAAAGAACAACTGAAGAAATTCATGAGCACCAAACCAACCCTACAAAGAGTACTAAAAGATATTCTAGAAAGAGACAAAACAGATCACAACTTCAAGAACAACAGAAAGGAACCATCAAGCAGAGAAAGCAATTAAACAGGGAAAAAAGGGGAATCCAACAGCAGGAAAATAACATCACAAAGATAAACCAGTACATATCAGTTATAACCACCAATGTAAATGGTCTCAATGCACCAATCAAAAGAAGCAGACTGGCAGAGTGGATCAAGAACCAAAATCCAACTGTGTGCTGTATACAAGAAACACTTTTAACTCAAAAGGAAATTCATAGACTGAAAATTAAAGGATGGAAAACAATACTCCACATGACAGGAACCCAGAAAAAAGCAGGTGTAGTTATTCTGTTTGCGGACAATGTGAACTTCAAATCAAGAACAATCAAAAGAGATAAAGAAGATCACTACATACTTGTGAAGGGAAAACTTGAAGAGGAAGAGATAACAATCATAAACATCTATGCACCAAATACAGGAGTATGCAACTGTATAATACAAATTTTAGCAGACATGAAAAAATGAAATAAGCAGCAACACAGTCATAACAGGGGACTTTAACACCGCATTGTCACAAAGAGATAGATCAACTAGACAAAAAATTGGGAAAGAAATAACAGAACTTAACCAAACTTGTGAAAAAATGGACTTAGTAGACCTCTACAGTTTGTACCATCCAGCAGTATCAGAATAAACATTCTTCTCAGCTGCACATGGGACGTTCTCTAAAATAGACCACATGCTAGCACACACAACATGCTTAAGTAAATACAAAGGAACTGAAATCATCCCATGCATACTATCAGACCATAGTGCAATGAAATTGGAAATTAATGACAAAAGAAATCACAAAAACCCCATAAACACATGGAAATTAAGTAATACCCTCCTGAATAACCAATGGGTCACAGATGAACTCAAAGGAGAAATTAAACAGTATTTACATTCAAACAAAAATGTAGATACAACTTACAGTAACCTGTGGGGTGTAATGAAAGCAGTCCTCAGAGAGAAATTTATAGCAGTGAATTCCCACCTCAGAAAAACAGAATGAGCACAAATAAACAATCTTGTGCTGCACTTCAAGCTTCTAGAAAAAGAAGAGCAAGTCAAATCCAAAGCCCAAAGAAAACAGGAAATTATAAAG